ATTGAACTTTTTGGAATAGTAGGCAATTGGTAGTAGATCTTGATTTTCATTTTCTTGCAATAAAACACCTCCTGCCGCTATTTGCGATGCATCCGTTTGTAAAACAAATGGTTTTGAAAAATCAGCTAACTGCAAAATTGGGGGATTTGAAATTTTCTCCCTCAACGTATCAAAGGCAGTTTTACACTTTTGGGACCAAATGAATTTATTTCCTTTCTGTTTCAAACTGTGTAAAGGTGCACATATATCGGCATAGTTAGGGATATATTTAGCCCAATAAGAACACATACCTGTAAATTGCCTTACTTGTCTTACATTTTTAGGTTCGGGAAACTTCTGAATGGCAGTTGTACGTTCTGGGTCGATTCTTACAGTGTTGTCTTTAATTAAGTGTCCTAGGAAGCTGATTTCCCGACAAAAAAATTTTGCTTTGTCAACGTTTACTGTTAGTTTGTGTTTGGCGAGTCTGTCAATGACCTCCTTAACGTGTGACATATGCAGAGACTTGTTAGTGCTGTAAACAACTATGTCGTCACAGAAATTTACCATGTATTTAAACTTTATATCTTGAAAAACTTTATCCAAGTAGCTTGATAGAACGGAGCTTCCAACCTGGAGTCCAAAACAAACACGTTTCATGCGATATTTCCCAAAAATTGTAGAAAATGATGTGATGTCTCTAGAATTTTCCGCTAAAGGACATTGAAGGAAAGCCTTATTTAAGTCGATTACTGTAAAGTAACTAGCCCCTTGTAGATGATGATACATATTTTGGAGGTCACCAATTGGATAGTTCATTTTCACTAATTTCTTATTCAACTCTGAATAGTTGACTACCAATCTATCTTTTGCTGTTAAAAATGCTGGGCTGCTATATTCGCTAGTGGATGGTTCTATTATACCTTGGGCTAACCAATCGTCTACTATAGCTTTCATTTTGTTCAAAGTGGGCGGACTTAGAAAATAAGGGCGAATACATATAGGTTTATCATCAGTAAGCTTTAGTTCTACTTGTAGGTCAAGTGCCTCACCAATCTTATCAGTAAATACATTGGGATAAGATTTTACTAGTTCTTCTATTTCTGTGGTCATCTCTGGAGTTCCGATATGAATATTATTTATTGCTAATTTCTGCCAATTTTCATCTCCACACAACTTTATTTTGTCTGAAGGTGCGAATTTAAAATAACAGCTGTTGGCATTTAAATCGATAATTAGGCCTTTGTTCCGAATGAATGGAGCTCCCACTATCATGTGATAATAGTTTTGTTTTATCACCAAAAATTTTTCATACCAGGAATACTTGCTTATCTTGATTTTTATCTTACATTCATTTATGATGTCCAACGGTTCTTCATTTGCAGCTAACATTATATCAGTCCATTTCTTAGTTCCTCTAATTTTATTTACTGCGTTTAGTTTGTCATAAAGCTCTTTACTTATAAAGTTTCTACTGGCTCCAGTATCGAGTAGAGATTTTACATGTATATTCCCAGTTAATTTTATTTGCATGCATGGTAAAGAATGTATTGTTTTACCTTTGGTTTTAGTTATGCTAGGTTTCTTTGATTTGTTGTGCCCTTTAACTAGTTGTCTTAATTCATTTTTGAATGCGAAACTATGATTTGTATTATCACTAACATTTTGTTTTCTGGGAGGATAAGATACGTGAAGTTCGGTTCTTACACCTCCCAAGTTTATGAGTTTTTTGGTTTTCTGAAGCACTGTCTTGCTGTATGACCTGGTCTAGCACAGTTATAACAAACCCTGTCTCGTGGATATGAGGTCCCACTTGACGTTTGTCCATACCCATGATTTCCCTGATTTTCAATTGACCTATTATGCATATGTCCTGATGATGTATTTGACGTTGTAGGAAACATATTGTGTCTGACATAATCATTAAAATTAACGTTGTTTAGGTTTATGCACAGTTGGTCTAGGTCTCTGAAGGTTATCGGATTTTTTTCAAACACTAATTTATTTCTGATTTCCGGATGGATGCCATTTTTGATGAAACAAACCAATTCTTCTTCAGTGAGATTTCCCTTCAATACTTGATGATTTGTCTTGACCTCATTTATGTAAATTGACAACGGTTCGTTTGTTTTTTGCGGTCTAAAGATAAGTTCTTGTTTCAGTTTCTCCTTCAGTGTTATTGGTATGAAAGTATTTATGATATCTGTGTGTAGTCGGTCTATTGATTGATTTGTGTTCTTGTGTTCTAATATTTTATTCGTGAGTGGTTGAGAAGTATATGTAGGCAAGATTTCAAACAGTTGGTGTGAAGTAAGATTGGTCTCGATGGTGATGGTTATTAGGTTTCTTAAAAAGTCCAGCAGAGGATAGATTTCTAATCCATTACAGATCCTGAATTTTTGGAGATAATTTTCTAACGGATTCTTAATTTTTCCGAATACATTTACATTCTCAATCTCTTGAGAGGGGCCTGCTAGTGGTTGTACTTGTGGACCAAGGCGATTGTTAAATGGAATTTCTATAGACTTGAAATCTTGAACGACTTCCAGTGTCTGTGTGTTATGTTGGGTAGGGGTAGAAGAAGTTTGTCTATCGTGAACAACATGCTTATTTATCTCTGAGTCGATTTCCTCTTCGTCCAAAATAGATGTGTTTAACCTTTCTTCAAATTCCGCCAACTCCTCCTGAGGGATGTCATTTAGGATAGCTTCAAATTGCGACGTGGATTTTTGCAATTTATCCACATATTCAGTAAGTCTATTCGTAAATGATTCTTCTAATTTACACAGTTTCATATGTGAAATTCTTAAGGCTAAATGGGCTAGCTTAGCCTTGATTTTGGCTACTAATAAGTTGCTATTAGCTTCCTTGCACTGACCTATTAGTTCCTCTACACTATATAATTTGTTTTCTATCGTGTCAAATTCATCTTTAAGTATAATTTTCCCTTTCAAATTAATGACATTTGTTGGAACGTCTTGACATAACCTTAATTGCCTCCTTAAACTCTGAACATCCTTGTTGATAATATCTTGTCCTCTTGATAAGAGCTCATATGTTAGCTCTTCTTTGATAAGGTAATTCAAGTTAAATTTAGACATATTTATGAAATTATCTTGCTATAGATTCATGCTCATTAGTAATTAGGCTGTAATGTAATATTTCACTCTAGGCTAGTAAAAATTAGGCTTGGATAAAACTTTAAAAGTAGGCTATAGTGATTTCCTGATTTATTGTTATATTTTGTTGTTCTGTATAGCAGAGTGGCGCATATATTTATACTCGTAAGGTCCAATAAAAGTATAAATGTAATGATTTATACTACAGAACTATATAACTTCAATAGGATTCAGCCTAAGTTAAAAAGAAGCCATTTCATTTTCATGTACAACAATGACATTTTATTAACAAAATAAATGTAATCATAACAAATATATACTTTTCCTTTAGTTAAATTATACCTCTGTATCTCAGCCCTAAATACCTAATTATTTAATTGAAACAGTCTTACTTTATGATGGCCTTCCGTAGAGCTCTATTTTAATACAGGAACTCGTCTGTAAAAAAAATATACAAATGCATAAATATTACTAATATAACTATTCTAAATATAAATTTCAATTACCATTTTCTTTCGTACAATGTGCTTTTTGCAAGTTAACATACTTATAACCTAATTTAACATATTTTAGAATTTGAGGTTAACCAACAGTGAATATTATTTTCCCATATCCATGTTCAATAGTATTTTTAATACAAATTTTAATTTCAGATTTTACTTTCCTAGATTTTAATGGATAATAATATTTTGTACTTACAATGTCTACGAGATTTGCCTGCCATGAGATACAGAATTATGAATGAAATCAAACTTTGTGAGGGAAATGAAAAAAGAAACAATGTTACCACTACAAACAATTAAAATAAATCAACTTATGCTTCTTACATACTATAACTAAATTTGCTGGATTTTTTTTTTTTTAAACAAACAATACAAGAATCAGTATACAGTGTAGAGTTTGGGAATGGATTAATGTATCTGCAATACTAAGACTGCTTTCAGAGTAAACTAATGATTTTCCCCGAGCAAAGCTCGGTCTCCAGGTACTGGTACCTAATAAAACATACAAATTTTGATGTCAATATAATAGCACCTAATTCATGAAAATCAAATTTAAAATATTTGGGTTCCTTAGTATTTTTCAAAATAAAATTTTGGCGTTAGTTTATGCAATAAAGCTCCAATTTTCTTAACAATAACATTTCATTTAAACGTGGGTTAATAATTCATAGTTCAGCCATTTCTCAACTAGAGTTATTAACTACCGTAATGCATGATTTTTTTTCAAAAATTTACATATTCTTATCCTATATTTTAATACAATTTACTGTTTTTGTCTAATTTGGCATGCAAATTTTCAAATCACATCAGAATATGAAAAATCTTTGATAAAAATACATCTACTTGATAAAAATAAGTTATAACACACACATGCACACATTTGACATACGACATTTTTTATTCATTACCGGTAATCTAAGAGTATTTCAACAAAATTAATTGAGACCAAAGACAATAACGTTATTTTCACATGTCAGTAGATAAGTCCCAAAACCTGTAAACTTGTGATAATGACTCTGTCCTGTTACAGTTTTGCCACGTAGTGCAGCATATGGCTGAATCATCAGCTAAGTTTTATAAACTTATAGCAGATAAAATTATCTCCATTTCGGCTCTGACTTATCATTTAACCCATTACATCAAGTACTAAAAGTCTTAATTTCTCGAGCAATCCTTTTTTTAAGTAAAGTAAGAATATTTCACCGTCAAATTGGGAGTCACTAAAAAATAGTCTTCTTAACATTGATTATTTGTGCTTTGTGCAGAATTTCGTTGACACTGTCGTGCCCCATGAACCTGAAACTGTACCCTCTGGACAGCCAAATCTGCTCACTAAGGATGGCAAGCTGTAAGTAGGCTCAATGACTCGTTTTATGATCGTATTTAATTTGTTGTGCAGAATTTCATTGACCCTGTCGTGCCCAATGAACCTGAAACTGTATCCACTGGATAGGCAGGTGTGCTCTCTGCGAATGGCCAGTTGTAAGTATCTCCAACCTCTGTAATATCTTGTCAACATTGATTTTGAAACTGGAAACAAGATAAAGCTGTGCACTAGCTTTGCTTTATAATTCGAATGGCTTTTGAATTTCATGGTTGCTTATATTTGCGTCTTTTTAATATTTCAGTTTTCCTATCCACTAATACTTTTAACTGAAATGGCAACCATACAAAGGTAGGTATTTTATCAATTGATTGAAACAGTAGAAACTTGCCTTTACCATAAACACTGTTATACTGATCATTGTAACAAAACCTTTTGGTATTTTAAGTGAAAATTTTGGTCAAAAATTTAAAACACTGAAAATGTTTTTTTTTATCAATGGTAGCCTAGACTTTTTTTCAGTAGGTACCTACCTCTAAAAACTAAATGTCAGTAAATTGATATTTTAACTACACATTTAAATCTTACTAGTTTTTCATTAAATCAATTATGTATTACCTAATAATATTCATTAATTATAAGGTAATGTGGAACAGTATTTACAAAGTATACTTTTTAGTAAATACATACCATCCATGTATTTCTTTATAGTATACAGTCTGCATGGCCTGACGTGTTCTAGTCATATTTACTTAATCATTATTAGGTAGTTTTAGAAATATAGTTTGAAATGTATATTTATATTTTTAATAATCATTAATTACATAAAGCTGATTAATTTTGCTACAGTTTCTAAAATTTCAGTTTCAAAATTAATTCCGGTTGATACAGATATTGCAGAACATGCAACAGGTAGAGAGATAGGTTTACTGTTTATCTTGTAAAGAACTATTTTAATTTTATGCCTCTATTTTCAGTTGCATCATTTTTGTTCTAATTTTAGTTATTAGGCAAAGATTAAATTGAATAGCTGAGTAGGCATCTAGAATGGGGTTGTGTTTAGTTGTATTTCTTCTGCACGACTGATAAATAGTTTAGCTGCGTTGGATTGATCTTGACTGGCTGGGCAGATTTTATTTGTCACTTTCACTTAACAGGTAACAATCGGTTACTTAAAATAAATAATTTCCAAAATACCATTGATTACAGTTGAAACAAGAATAATCCTTGCATGTGTATGCATGTATTGATGTGTCGTTAAAGCCTGTTCTAGCCAATCTTGATGCATGGGTATCTATGACTTATTTGTGTAATTATTTTTCAGACAAAAGGTAACACAACTACCTTTTACATATCCATATACAGGGTGGCTGAAAAGTAACTTGCACCCCCCCCTTAACTTTTCAACCATTTGAGATATTTGAAATCCGTTTGCGGCAACCTTCTTAAATATGAGGAGCTACAATAATTATGATCAATTTTGAAAATTTGGCCCTTAAGGGTAGTGGTGGTAGGGGGTAGCTCAAAATTTTTAAACGACAAGTATAGTCGAGTTTGGTATCATATTACAGGTCTTGAGGAAACATAAAAATTGACATAAAGAAAACCAAAATCGGCCCACTAATAACAAAATGGCGCCCTAAAACGTTTGAAATCCAAATAACCATGAGGGTGGCTGAAAATTAATTTGCACCCCCTTTAACTTTTTCACTATTTGAGATATTTGAAATTGGTTTGCGGCAACTTGTTTGGATATGAAGGGCTACAATAATTATGGTCAGTTTTGCGAATTTTGCCCTAGGGGTAGTGGGGGTAGGGGGTTGCTCAAAAATTTCAAATAGCAAGTATAGTCGAGTTTAATATCGTTTTACAGGTCTTGACGAAACATAAACATTAACATAAAGAAAATAGAAATCGGACCATTAATAACAAAAGGGCAGCTAAAAATGGTTAAGACAATTATCATTAAAAGTAATTTTGAACTGCCATTTTGTTATTAATGCTCCGATTTCTATTTTCTTTATGTTAATTTTTATGTTTCGTCAAGACCTGTAAAATGATACCAAACTCGACTATACTTGCTATTTTAAATTTTTTAGCTACCCCCTACCCCCACTACCCCTAAGGGCAAAATGTTCAAAACTGACCATAATTATTGTAGCCCTTCTTATCCAAACAAGTTTCCGCAAACTGATTTCAAATATCTCAAATAGTTAAAAAGTTAAAGGGGGTGCAAGTTAATTTTCAGCCACCCTCATGGTTATTTGGATTTGAAACGTTTTAGGGCGCCATTTTGTTATTAATGGGCCGATTTTGGTTTTCTTTATGTCAATTTTTATGTTTCCTCAAGACCTGTAAAATGATACTAAACTGGACTATAGTTGTAATTTTAAAATTTTGAGCTACCCCCTACCCCTACTACCCCTAAGGGCAAAATTTTCTAAATTGACCATAATTAATTTTTGTAGCCCCTCATATCTAAGAAGGTTGCCGTAAACAGATTTCAAATATCTCAAATGGTTGAAAAGCTAAGGGGGGGTGCAAGTTATCTCAAAAAGTAATAAAGGTAGAACTTTAAAATTTGGTACACTCCCATATAGACATTAAAATCATTTGAACACATTATTCAGTAATACACTACCTCCTCAGGGGGCCGGCCCGCTAGGAGTCAGAAGAAAATCTTAAATGTAAGCATAGATTGATATGCACAAGGTCTTTAGTAGTAAAATACAATGCCGCAAATTTGAATTCAAACGGAGAACCAAGTCGAAAATGGCAGCCATTCAAAGATATCTTGAATCTGCTATTTTGAATTTTTTAATGGGGGGCTGCTATTTTTTACTCAGTTGTTATTTTGAGCTCTAATTTGTGGCAATGTATTCTACTAATTAAGACCTTTAATTTGATGTGTACATTTACCTATGCATACGTTTATGATTTTCTTCCGACTTCTAGCACACGCTCCCAGAGGCAGCGTATACTGTAATAGCAATGCAAAATCAATGCATCTTTGAATAGTTGTCATTTTTGACTCGGTTGATCGTTTAAATTTGGGTTTGCAGCATTGTACTTTACTAACAAAGATCTTTAATTTTATGTGCATATCAAATGATGCTCAATTTAAGATGTTCTTCTGACTCTTGGCGGGCCATCCCCCTGAGGAGGTAGTGCATAACTGAATAATGTTTTTAAATGATTTTAAAAGCCTAGTAACTATGTACAAAGTTTTGAAGCATTGTCTTTATAACTTTTTGGAATATTTGACCGTCCATGGACTTTTTCTTCACCCTGTACATATATAGAACAGTGTTGTTAGTAAGGACCATCAATGCATAACATAAACCCTCTTCCAAAAGGTTGGAAGAGAATAAACATAAAGAACCTCTTCCAATATGTTGGGAGGCTCAAGCAATAGATGAAGTATAAAATACACGCAGCATATCCCATAGCCTAAAATAGCATATAGTTGTTCACTATGTCACTACTGGTTTGTTAAAGAGCTCCTAAACTAGATTTTAAATAGTTAATGATTGGTAGTCAAAGGGTTTTACTACTACTATTCAAATGACAAAGTCCTCTTAGGAGTTTTAGAATAACACTTCATGTTATGATTTTTTTGCTTTGGGTTAAACTAACAGATTAGAAAATAACATATTTACTTTAGTTCCTTAAAATTATACACACTATCAAGATCAAGAGAAAAGCAAAACTTAACCCAAGAGGATTTTCCATAGATTTTATGTGGTATTCCCAGATTCAAGAACAAATAATTAATTATGTTGTTTACCATAATTATAATACCAATGTCTTTATGTCAGATGTGACCCTACCTCTGAGCTCTTGTGATCATTTATGAACTACGTAGAGAGGTGTATCAATGATACAGCACCCTACATTGGTTTGGTCTTTATCTACGGGATTCTCTGCCAGGCTCAGAAAGAAGATTCCTAATCCTAGCAATTTAAAAGATGAAAACAACTTACCATTATATCATATGGTACACTACTTTTGAAAATTTGTACATTGCGTAGCAAACATAATCATTCTAATATTTATAAATACAATATCTTACATAGAAGTTAAAAAAAAAATAACAATGCATATATAAAATTTAACTTTCAACAAATAAATCAATACTACAGTAATACATGCAAGAGACGGAAGAAATCTACAAAAAATTATACATTTAACATTTAACCCCTAGGGGATATAATTTTGTACCTTCAACTCCAACGGTGCTCAGTGAACTCATCAACCGAATAGAACACTTGATTTTTTAAAGTCACGTTTCAGTTTTGTTTTAGAGGCACTTTCCAGACTTTTAAGCCTCTCAAGAGGACTTGAGAAGGAAGTTTAACTCAGCATTGAATAGGCACATGTTGAAACTGAAAGTCTATACGGCACTTTTTTTTTCTAAATGGCCTTTTAAAATCTCGCCTGGTAGAACCATCCCACAATTGTAATCCGAAGGAAAGATGTGGATGATTAAGTCCATAATAGCCTATGACCTGGTCTTGTATTGAACATGAAGGCTTAAGATTACACAAGGCAAAAATAAAAATTCCCCTTTTAATTTTTGAACAAATAATGCTATCTATATGATCTTGCCAGTTCAGCACTCTATCTAAGTGCATCTGTAAGAACTTTGTGAAATCAACCTCTTTCAAGCAGGTATCATCCACCATTACTGTGGGCGCACACTCGTCGTCAAGGTGACATAGGAAAAAAATTATGTACGTTGTTTTTGACTGATTTGTGTTCAAATTTTCGGAAATTGGATGCAGGTGTTTAAATTGAAAAAATTTAAAGTTCTAGAGCATCTTGGAATTATGTTTGAAAATAAAGAGCGTGTCATCTGCATATTGTATGAATTTTCCGCCATAACATTGAGGAGCAGATGTCATTATAAATTAAGAACAAAACTGGACCAACGATTGAACCCTGTGGGAGACCTTGACAAACCCTTAAGGTCTTTGATCTGCAAGTTGATACCTGTAGGTACTGGGTCCTACCCTCAAGGTAAGATTCCAGCCACAGAATTGGGACTTCACGGATGCCGCAAAGATCCAGTTTCCGTAACAATATGTTGTGACCCACGCAATCTGATGATGTTGTGAACCACAGCCACCTCTAATACAAGGCCGCGACGTTCGAACTGGCAACGCCGCAATCACACCCCCTCTGCGTCCGTCTTCACACGCGCTAGGCTATGAACATCAATGAGAGTATTGCTGCTCTGTATTAATGAATGAAAGTATTTAAATACGTAATAACATATTTTAGTAGATTTTAAGGTATGGTAAAATAGACAAAATTGTAATCTAGGTTGTTTATTTAGTGAAAAATTGCAACATACCGCAATATGTCTAAAACTAAAAATATACAAACATAATGTTTTTGGTTGCATTTATCGTATTGTAAGTACGATGAATGTGGAAATAGATGAACTTTAAATATTTCCTTTGTTAATTTGTTAATCTACACTATTATATAACAATCTCATGGTGTCTGTATATATGTGTGTTATTCAACATAGTAAAAACTACTAGACAGACAGACTGTGCTTAAATTTTACAAAATAAAGCTACTATACCAAGAATGGTTATACAGTAGGACTAACTTATTGCCACTTCAATATTTGTAGAGACTTTGGGATTTGTAGAGACTAACATCTAACAATTTGTTCAAATAAAATTAATTTTAAATTTTTAATAGGAATATTATGTTTTAGTCTACCTGAGGAAACCATAAGTTAGCGACAACAAAATTTGAAGTTTTCATTTTGAAGGCATACTGACTAAATAATTTATTTTCTTTGAATAATTACTAAGAAAAACGTTTGCCATTTTGTAAACGATTTTAGAAGCTAGGCCTCTATATGGCTTTCCACAATATTAATAGAATTTTTTATCACATCAACATTCAGACTGGATTCGGAGACTATGATGCTTTTATTGTTAGATGGTGCAGTAGGTTACATATTTTTTAATAGTAGGCCTACTTAACAGGAACACCGGCTTATTTCTTTGAAGTGGCATTTATTTAAGTTATTTTAATCACTTAACAACAGCATTTATCAATAAGATAGACAAATAAACAAGGAAATAGTACGGCATTACTACCTAAAACTTGCTTCTCGCGTCTATATTTACACGAATCATTGTCTTATTCTTACATTTTTTTACAAATTTAATCTAAGCTCATATTCGTGAAAAATGTTTCACACAAAAACGAGAATATTTTTTAGATGTCTAATTTGATCGAAGAATAGCAGAAAGCAATTAATTGTTGCTTACGCGGTGGATCAAGTAGAATCTTAGAACACTGTATGTATTATTCATTTTTAATTGAGCTATCGTAATTATTCTTGCATCCAGGCACATCACATCTATCTGGCATGCTGTAGTAAGAAGTTTAATGTCATTACTAATGATTAAAGGTAGTAGAAACGCGATTATGTACGTAGAGTACGCGACTCCTCCATTCACTGTAATGGTAAAACGACCGAACGCCAAGACACTGATGCGACGTTGCCGCTTTTCACTCGCCGCGGCCTTGTGTTAGAGGTGGCTGTGTGTGAACGCCTTTGAAAGATCGATGAAGAACTAAGTGTCTTTTTTTGGTGCTCCTTCAAGTAAATCTTCAATAAATTTATTTACCAGGTCTATCGTGGATTTTACCGGTCTCAATCCATATTGATTCTGAAAGAATATTATACTTTTTCAAAAAATATTGAAGCCTTGTGAGAAAGATCCTCTAAAATTGCTTATTTCTAAATAAGTTCTAACTGGTAAGATTGAAATAGGGTGGTAATTATTAAACATTTTTGGATAATCTTTTTTGAATATTGGAATGACTTTTTAAATTTTCAATCCAGATGGGATAGTTCCTGACTGAAGTGACAGATTGATGAGTTTGGTCAATGAGGTCAGTATAAGCAAATAAATTTGCTTAACTGTCCACATCAACCTTAACATTAATATCGTCCTTTTTTTTTTTTTGCCGGAAGATCATGAATGATACGTGCGACCTCAATCTCACTGGCAGGAGCTAAAACCATTGATGATAGCGGACTGTGCCAGAAATGACTGTGAAGAGGTGTTGGGTTTGTTTTTGATTTACATTCATCAACTGAATGGAAAAAAGTATTGAAAGCATTGGCGACATCGTCTGGGTTCTTAAACTTTCCATTGAGGTTTAGTGCAATTGGATTGACTTTTTGTATAATTTTTAATATTGTTGATAATAGGTATTCCATTATCAAGACATTATCTGAATTCTTTATTTTCTTATCAATGGCATAAGTCTTTGCTGCTTTATATTAGCAAGAACTACAGTATGTTCAAATACATCTTCCTTAGAAAGCAAATATTTTTTAGATGGTTGGACTACGGATGACCTTGTTTTTCTATGGAAAGAAGGGGATCCTGTGCAGGTGGTGAAAAATTTGCATTTGCCAAGATTCACTCTGGAGAAGTTTCTGACAGATTACTGCAACAGCAAAACCAACACAGGTCAGTTGTGTTAAAGTGACATAGACATTGAGTTTTCACTGTTCCTCTTACTTTTTAAAGGCATTAATTGATCCATCAGGTTTTAGATCACACCTGCTTCTAGCAAACTCTATAGCTAGCTACGTTGGGTGTTCAAGTGCTTCAAAGTCATGACAGCGTTGCATTGCAAGTTGAAGCAAGTCAACTTTGAATGTTTCTACTGTATTATTAAAAGTTATAGTTTTTTCTCCGTTGCTGTAGTATGTTTTTATGATTTAACACTACATAAATCCAGTGCTAAGTTTTTTTATAGAAAAATCCGAGGATCCCTGTGGTAGTACTGAAAGCTATTATGTGTTATTATGCTTTGAAAATTTAAATGGCCCCCATTTTGAAATTATAAGAAGTAGAAACTTGATGTTTTGAAAAAAAAATATTTCCTATTAGTTATCATGCACCTAACAAGTTTGAAGTTGGTACCTCTAGTGGTTCCAAAGTTATGTCAAAAATACTGTAAGCGTTGGACTTGTTTACCAGCGGTGTGTGGGGGGGTGTGTGCACCAATCTCCCACCGCAGCCAAAGTTTCCGTGGCATTGGTCGGACTACGCTTTCTAAAAACATTAGACCAGCGCTGCTCGTGTTATTTTACTTTTTTGCGTACATTTAAAAAAAATTTAAATTTGAATTTAATTCAAATACCATACAATGTAATTTTTAAGGGTTCTACTGGTATAATACTGTAGTTTTGGTACTGTAGTAGAATAATTAATTCTGATACAACTATGTTTTTACTTATTAAAATGTACACTAAACGATAAAATCATAGTATATTTCAATTTAATTGTAAAATTTGACTTATTAGGTGTAAACTATAACTGAGTTTATATAATTATGGAAACTTTTTGCTTATTTTCATATCATGTACAATAAATAACACCTCAAAATATCTGACGGTTTTTCCGAACACTGTAAAAAGGTTAATGGCTTGCAGTTATTTATTTTATATCCCTAAGTTGATATAACGAATGTCCGTCTCTTAAGGTCGTAAAGTATTTTAGGACACTATTTTATGACTGGATGAGTATTGTATTCTATCGTGTTCTATCGACTGTCAATTTGAGTTTATTGGACTGTGTTGTGGAGTTGATTAGTGTGGTTGAGTAATTATTGAGTGATTGTTAAAAATACCCGTGGGTTAAACAACTTTAGGCTAACTTAGATTAATATCATGGCAACCGCCCGTAACAAAGGGCAAGCCATTCACAGTGTAGAGAGGGAAATTATAAGACCAACAGGCGCCTATACACACTAACACACGGAAAACGAAGCGAGATAGGGCATATGTTTGTAGGATATTAAATATGTATTTTTTTGACCTAAGGAACATGGAGTTTCGGGAGAGAGTTTCAAAACACCCTGTATATGTTCACAGAAATTAAGTGTTACTGTTTTAATATCTTTAAATATTGTTTCAATTATTGATAAAGTTTTAATGTATTTTATTCCTTTTTTTCGCCACTTCCGTCTTGTACAACAGTTTGTCCTGATGTGTAAATATAAACATAGGTTTAAATATTTGATTTATGATAAAATTTTAACTTGTCTAATTAATATCTCACTTTTTAAGTAGTCCTTAACTAATTTGAACAAATAGAGTTTTTAGTCTTTGGGAACATCAAAATGAAAATGTTAATCATTCCTGGGTTTAGGTCTTACCACCCAGCTTCTTATTCCATCTTTTGTACTAACATTGTCTGTGTACAATATACTCGAGGAGAAGATTAATTGAATAGTGAATATGAAGTTAGCAGGTGGTGCAATACATGGTGTTTTTAAAAGAATGCCGGGATTTCAAACGGTCGTTGCTCGGGGACTATTCAAGATAATTAAACGATTTAAACGTCAAATTGAAGAGAAAAGAATAAAATTTTTTTCTCATTCTTTCATACAATTCGGAATGATTTAATAAAATTCTGATTTTCATCAATCTTATATGAGCGTAAAACTGGAAAAGTATGTACGCTCAGGGCGACCGGCGGGTTTATCTGATGTCTTAACTAAATCTTTTTGGCACAAAGACTATATCTTTTATAGATAACATTATAAAGTGGCAAATTTAGGTTTGTTAAACTGAAGACTTCGTTGGGCAATAGAATCTTTCGGGCTTCTGATGCAGAATTGTCAGATTTCTTCAACTATGTCATCGATTGTTTTTAGCCGGCAAGGTAAATAAATGTCTTTTCAAAACACTTTGGTGCCACAAAACTCACTAAACCAGTTCAAGTTTCTTTATCATCAAGTAGATTTAAATTTAGTTTAATTTAGCAACAGATATAAACTCTGCGAACTATAGATTACAATCTGTGTCTTCTGTTGCGCCTTAAACGTCGTACTGGCGACTGGAGTCAAGCGTATGAGTCACAATGGCAGCCTACCACCCTGCACTTGTTTTACGCATGCCAAGGTCAAAGTTTCCTCCCTTGCTACACGGGAAACAAAACTTAGTCATTTTAGCTTTAATTTGACGTATAAAACGTTTAGTTACCTTGAATAGTATCCAAGCAATTACCATTTTAAATCCTGGCATTCTTTTAAAAACACCCTGTATATCAGAACAATAGATATAGTGGATGAATATTAGGAAAATCGACCTAACAAATTCGGACTAAGTAGAAACTTTGCAGTTGTTTGGTAAGCCTAAATAAATAAAATCTCAAAAGTCCCCATAAATCCCTGCTGAGCTTCAGCCGCCATCTTGGAAAATGGCAGCCAATTTTCACTTTTTTGACAATATTTCACAAACTATTGGTAGGCCTATTAGAGAATTTTTGTAAATACAAAAGTTAAAGAACGTCTAAAAATACATCTTTTTTATATCACAAGGTTTGCTCTATCTCTAATGGTTATTGAGATAAATAATAAAAGTTAGTATTAAATAAAAAATTCCCATGTTATTCTTATGGAGGAAAATAAAATTGTTGCAGTTTGCTTATTTATGGATATATTTTTATCAAACTTGGCAAATTTAATTATTTTATACTAAGCTATTAATATTTAACATAAATATACACTTCAGTACCCTCCCTATAGCAGTAAACCTAGTACTCGTTAAATTTCAAGTTATTTAAATAGGGAATCTATCTTATATTTTTAGGATATATTTTAGTAATGATCCAGGTCTGGCAAATGGAAATTTACTTTTTAGACATATTAACTATAGTTTTCCCTTATTAATATAAGTAAGTTTAAAGCTCACTCACTATATTTTCACTACTATGTAACTACTTACATGGTAGGCCTACTGATTACTCCCGGTATAATTATTTTGTCGGTAAATATTAGGAAATTCTACCTTAAAATCCGGACTTAATGCGGCTGAGGCACAGCCGGTATTTTTGGGAACTTTTGCCATTTTCATCAACTAGTCTCACTGTGCTTAACTGTGCAAAATTGCAATTTAGTCCGGATTTTAAGGTTCAATTTCCTAATATTTACCGACAAAAAATTATACCGGGAGTAATAACGTAGGTACCACTTAAGTTTTTAGTAGTTACATAGTAGTGACAAAATCGTAAGTGGGCTGTAATCATAATACTAATAAGAAAAATGATTGTTGATATGATTGAAAAATGAATATCCATTTGCCTGACTGGATTTATACTAAAAATATATCCTAAAAAAGGAAGATAGATTCCCTATTAAAATAACTTTAAATTTAACGAGTACTAGGTTTACTGCTATAGAGAGGGTACTAAAGTGTATATTTATGTTAAATATTAATAGCTTAGTATAAAATAAATAAATTTGCCAAGTTTGATAAAAATATTTCCATAAATAAGCAAACTGCAACAATTGTATTTTCCTCCATAAGAATAACATGGGAATTTTTTATTTAATACTAACTTTTATTATTTATCTCAATAACCATTAGAGATAGAGCAAACCTCTATTATAAAAAAGATGCATTATTAGACGTTCTTTAACTTTTGTATTTACACAATTTCTCTAGGACCAATAGTTTGTGAAATATTGTCAAAAAAGTGAAAATTGGCCACCATTTTCCAATATGGCGGCTGAAGCACAGCACGGATTTATGGAGACTTTTGAGATTTTATTTATTAAGGCTTACTAAACAACTGTGCAAAGTTTCGACTTAGTCCGAATTTGTTAGGTCGAATGGCTTTATTATTCCTAAAATTCTTGGACTAATATTTGTTCTGGCTTTTGATTGAATTGCCAGTATCAGTACCCATAAACACATCACATAATAAATATTTAATATAATACTATATATAGGTGCAAAGATGGGGAAACGATTTTAGTTGGATTTAAAATTATTCAAAATATTAAATAGAGTTCATTATAAGTTTTATAAATAGTGAAAAGCATTCACTTGGAAAAAATTACCAAGAATAATAGATTTGTGGGTGTGGTTTGATTATATAGTATAGGATCTGAAAGGGGTTGAGTATGCATGGAAAGCCTGACGCAATTTTATTTCTGACTGTTGTTATAGGCACTATAGTGATCATGAAAATGCATGTTGTCGCCCCCTGGGAGGGAGGTATATGATGGGGGGGGGGGTGGCGCTTACTAAAACCTTTCTAAAACGCTCATAACTCGAGAACCCTTTTAGATAGAACATTGCAACAAGCGCCAATTTACTCATAACAATATGACATTTACAAAAGGTTATGATGTTTGAATTTGTATCTTAGTGGTTTTTTTAGTAATAGCATATTATTTTTTACTGAAGCGAAAATATTTAATAAATTACAAAAACTGTTATTTTGTAATAAAAAATTAAATGAATAAATTCAAGCGATTACATTTTTTACAGATTAGAAGTGTCAGTAAATAATTCTGAAGATAGACTATGGCGCTGTCCAGTGCCCACACACGTCGTTTAGATACATGGAATTTATAATTTGTATTACTATTTTTATCAGTATTTTTAATTACTCGGTATGGATCGCATGCTTAATGACGATGTATGGAGAAAGTCTTTCTTAATTTACCT